TCTTCAGTCATCCCTTTATCCACTTCAGTTATTCTCATTTCAAAAGAGCCATTTGTACCTTGGCAGAATGTTTAAGGGCAGAGGCATTCTAATTGGATATTTAAAAGTAAAAGAAAAAAATGAGACAGGCTTGTTTCCCAACTGTATCACAAGCATGTTTTAAGAAGATGATAGAACTTTAAAAGCACTAAAATAAAGACAATTTTTTTTTTTTTTGGTACTGGGCATTGAATCCAGGGGCGCTTAGCCACTAAGCCACGTCCCCAACCCTTTTCTGTATTTTATTTAGAGACAGGATCTCACTGAGTTGCTTACGGTCTTGCTTAGTTGCTGAGGCTGGCTTTGATCTCATGATCCTCCTGCCTCAGCCTCCTGAGCTGCTGGGATTACAGACGTATGCCACCTTGCCCGGCTAGACAAAATCTGGCATATTATTATTAACCATTATTGTATATTATTAATAGCATCACCCAATTCTTATGCAGCAACTTGGGTCTTCAGAGCCTGGAGCCCAAACCCTTTCTTCACCACCCTGTCATATTGTTTCTTTGAATTTCCTGCTGCACCCACCCAACCCTCACTCCAGGCCAGCATGTTGCCTGTTTTCGCTGCCTTTTGCTGTCATGTCATAACTGATCCCATTTGTAGCTCTCTGTGTATGTGATGGTCTCTCCCACTGGGCAGTCATCTTTCAGAATGGGGCCAGTGCTTTATACATTACTGTATTTTAATCCATTAATTAACTTGGCACATGGTTGTCTCTTTATAAACATTTGTTTAGTGATTACTGTACTGTATAATCACTATTTTGTCACTTTATGCTTTCATGCATATTTTTGGACTACAGAAATTTCAGAAATAGAATCGATGGCTTTAATAATTTTAAGGCTTTACACAGAAGTGGACAGTTAAAGAAGTCCATTCTTGAAAATGACCTTTAACTCTCTCGCAACCATCATGCAAAACAGGAAGAGGAATAGCTCCTTGTAACAGTTAAATGAACCTGTGATTTGTAAATCAAAAAGATTGCCGTTTCATGCCTGGGCTAGTGTTATCCCCATGATAGCAGGATCAGGTCAACAGTCCTTATTGAATTTGATTTTAAGAAAATACACATGTCCTTTTCAGTGCAGGTTTCCTGGAGTATCTAAATCAATATTCTGGTTAGACTTCATATTATATTGATTCATTTAAAAAAAAATTCCCTCTTGCCTCTCTGTCCCTGCCAATAAAATTGTTACTAATTATGGAGTGATTACTCGATGTTTTAGTCTGTTTTCTGCTGTTATAACAGAATACCTGAAACTTTATATCACAGATTTATTTCGTACAGTCTGGAGGCTAGGAAGTCCAGGAACACAGGGCTGGCATCTGGTGAAAGCTTTCTTACTGCATTGTAATGTGGCAGAGGATATCTTATGGCAAGGATGTGGAAGTGTGTGAGTTCAGGTGTCTGTTGCTCTTTTTATGAAGCCACCAATCCCTTCACAGAGCCTCACCTTCAAGACCTCATCTAACCCTAATTTTTACCTCCTAAAGGTCCCATTTCCCAATACTATCAACATATGAGTTTGGGGATTAGGTTCCCAACACATGAACTTTTTGAAGGACATATTCAAACAATAGCACACAGCTTGCTAAAGTCACATGGCTGGGAAGAACAGGGCTTAAGGCCAGAGCCTAGGCCCTTTCCCTAACACAATGCACTTCATTCCACACATCATCTCCAGGCTAGAAATACTGGGGTCTTGATTTCTCTTCTATGTACTTGAAGGGGCAGTTAGATTTAATGAGTTAGGTACCCTGCCACTGTAGGTAAGTGAACTATGTAAAAATGAATGCTGTTAATATTGAATTAAAGTTTTTTCTTTGTAGGCTCAATGAGGGAAATCTGCATGAAAAAAATCCCTAAATACCTAAATTGTGAAAATAGAATTAGAATTTATATTCTGTTGACATGAAAGATAGACAAACTTGTAGAAAACTCAGTGTGATGAGCAATGGGATTGAGGAGATATTTGCAAATTTCATATATTTAGGATTAACTTTACTTTTTCATTTGCTTAGCCTGCTTCTAGCCACGATGATAATTCTTTATTTTTCTTCTAGATGGAACATCTTTCTCTTTCAACTTCAGAATCTTTACTGAGAGAAAATTTGTTGCAGAGTTGTTTCTTTTTCATTAGATTTCTAAAAATCTGTGAGTCAGGGACTAAAAATTGTGCTTCAAAGATCACTTTCTTTGCTATAATAGAATGACTGGGTTTTAGCTGTGAAACTGGATCCTAGAAAAAAGAATGCTGAAACTTCTAAAACTCCCTTTCAGTCAGATGTGGTCATGTGACTAAGCACTAGCCCATGAGATGTAAGGAGTGGGTATGTTGGGGTAGGGTGGGGAGGGCTGGCTTCTGAAACCCATTCCTAAAGGAAGAGTGACCTCCTTATCCCTACTTCCTTTCTTCATTCTGCTGCTCAAAGGATAGGTTAAGATGAGCCATCTGGAACCATGTGGCTAAGGGCTGATGGAGAAATAAGAAAGAAGCCTTGGTCTTTTGGTGACTTGGCAAAGCAGGGCTGCTTTATCAGCTTGTTATGGTGAAATTGCAATAAATAACCAAGTTGATTTTAAGCAGGAGACAGAACCATTTTATTCACCAGCTGGTGGTCCGGATTCACCAGCTGGCAGGCCAAGGGGCAGGCTGCAAGTCTTTGACCCCCTCCAAGGGTTAGAGCACACGTTTATATTCTGAAACCACATTAATCATAAGTGGCTGTTGCTATGATTCAAAACTATAAACAAACATGAGATCTAAAATTGTAGAAGGAAAAGTGGGTCAAAATGATCCTAGTTGAGTATAAGTAAAAGAATGGTTACTAACACTAGACAAACATTCTCTGGCAGAGTACATTGCCCAAGAAAAATATGAACCAAAAAGAGAACAATTTTACTTTGTATAAGAATTGCCATTTTGTGTTGCCAAACTGCTATGCTAAGCAACTTTTGATGGGTATAGAGGTAGGGTATTCCCACAGGAGAAGCATTTCTTACATGACATGGAGTCTTAGGGTAAAATAGAGTTTGTCTGGTCATTGCCCATATAGCTTAGCCCATAACAAGCTTTCTACACCATGACTAGAAAGAAATGAACTTCTATCTTATTGAAACCACTGCCATTTTTGGCCTATGAAACAGGCAGCCAAATTTACATATCCCGTAATACAAATTAAGAGAGGGAATTATTTTTAGTTTGGACAGTTTTGGAAACAAACATGGAATCAGAAAATTGTCTTATGTGTATATAAAATATTCCTATGTGGCTAAACTTTACAATAGTGACTTGACTAACTACCAATGGACAAAAGCAAAGAGAAAGTGCAGAGTCCTGTGAGTCAGGATTGATTTTATTGAGTATCAGCACTGAAAATATTAGGTAGTGAGGTCTTTCACGATCAGTTCATTCAGATCAGGTGTGTATTTCAAGCAATGGCATTACTGATAGACTCTCATCAAGGCAGCAACAATCTACTATCTAATTTATCTTGCATTTGAGAGACTATTTGATGATACCGAAGAGGGGGATTTTAGAAGGAACATCTGACCCGTTAATAGTTTGAGAAGATTTTAAGCCAGCCTCAAGTTGCAGTAAATCTCAAACCTTATCATTCAAATTAAACAAATGTTCATGCTTCATTTTATATTTGGGTTCTATTGAAAGGTTTAAGGAAAGAGAGTTACATGAAGAGGTTGGGAGCCCAGGGGAGCAAACCTGAAAGAGTAAACCAGAGAGTGGGGAAGCCATGAGATAAGCTGGGAAAGGACCACCAAGCGGAAGTTGACTTGATCAAAGGATGGTCCCAATCTCTGAGCTTCCTAGGGCACTTTACTATGTTTACTACGTTAATTAAACACTATCTTAGGATGTCACCATATAGGCTGTGGGACATGTGGCAAAAACAGACCTTTTGTTTTGTGCCTTTCCCAAAGTAATAATTTACTCCTTTTCCAGTCTGTATGATGACTTGGAAAATAAAATAAATAACTCAGTTTACAAGCACGCGTGCACACTCATTCATCTGTGATAAGTGCCCCAGTATTTATTGGTATTTACTGAGTACCAGAAGCTGTGCTTGTGCATTTCCCCACACATTAACCACCACAATTCCCACAGCCATCTGTGAGGTGGGTGTTTTATTACCTCCAATTTACAAATGAAGAACAAGAGACCATTTTTGAGTGCTCTCTATTTGTAAGGTGCTTCAAATACATTATCCTATTTATTTTAATTAATTAAATTTTAAGTTAAAATTTTTTATTGTATACATTTAAAGTGTATGTATTTAAAGTGATGTTTTGATGTGCATTACATAGTGAAATCGTTACTGCAGTCAAGCTGATTAATATATCCATTAACATATCTATCATCTTTATAACTCTCTTTTCTTAGCTTTGTTTTAGTGGTTATAGCACCAAAAATCTATTCTCTTAGAACATTTCCAATATACCATACAATATTTTCTAAAAATTTATTCTAATTTGTTATATATGACAGCAGAATGCATTTTAATTTATATTACAAACATATAGCACAATTTTTCATATCTCTGGTTGTACACAATGTAGAGTCACACAATTTGTGTCTTCATACATGTACTTAGAGTAATGATGTCCATCTCATTTCACTACCTTTCCTACCCCCGTCCCCTCCATTCTCCTCCCTCTCCTTTGCCCTATCTAGAGTTCATCTATTCTTCCCATGCATCACCCCTATCCCCATTATGAATCAGCATCCTTGTATCAGAGAAAACATTCAACATTTGTTTTTTGGGGGAGGATTGGTTTGCTTCACTTAGCAGTATATTCTCCATCTCCATCCATTTACCTGCAAATGTCATGATTTTACTCTCTTTTAATGCTGAGTAATGCTCCATTGTGTTTATACGATATTTTCTTTATCCATTGATCTACTGAAGGGCATCTAGATTGGCTCCACTGTTTAGCTAAAAATATGGAACGCTTCACAAATTTGCCTGACATCCTTGCATGTGGGCCATGCTAATCTTCTCTGTATCATTCCAATTTTAGCATATGTGCTGCCAAAGTGAGCACTATACAATATTATTAGCTAGAGCCCTTGTGCTGTACTTTAGACCTCTAGATTTATTTGTCCTATATAACTGCAACTTTTTGCTCTGACCAGTATCTCCCTGCTTTTCCCTCCCCACTCTGCTGCCACCTTTGGTAACTGCCCTTCTGATCTGTTTCTATGTATTTGACTCTTGAAGGTTCCACATATAAGAGAGATCATACACTGTTTTTCTTTCTGTGTCTGGCTTATTTCACTTAACCAGTCTTCCAGGTTCATCTGCATAGTCACAAATGGCAGGATCTCCTTTATAACATCTGAATACGTCGCTTTAGAATATAAAACGTTATTATATATGATAGACATTACATAACATTATAATGTATAGGTAGAATATAATAATATGTATATGATTATACCTTATATAATATACACTATATATTACCATATAATATGGTAAATATTCATATATCATAGATCATTTATATATATATATATATATATATATATATAAAATATCATTTTTACATATAAATATTGTAGATGCGAACATTTCTTTACTTAGTCCTCCATTGATAGATATTTATGTTGTTTCCATATCTTTGTCTAAATTTAAGACCTGAAACTGTAAAACTCCTAACAGGAGTGAAAGGGAAAGCTTCTTGACATTGGCCTTGGCAATGTTTTTTTTTTTTTAATATGACACCAAAACCATATGCAACAAAGGCAAAAATAGTGGGACTACAATCAAACTTAAAAACCTCTTTTCAGTGAAGAAGCAATCAGTAACATGAAAGACAGTCTACAGATTGGGAGAAAATATTTGTTGGCCATCTATCTGATAATGGGTTAATATCCAAATTATTCAAGGAACGCACATAGCTCCATAACATAAAAACAACCTGATTGAGAACTATGCAAAGGACTTAAATAGACATTTTTTCCAAAGAAGACATACAAAAGGCCAACAGGTATATGAAGAGGTGCTAACATCACTATTCACCAGGGAAATGTAAATCAAAACCACAGTGCGCTCTCACCTCACACCTGTTAGGATGACCATGATTAAATAGACAAGAGATAACTAGTGTTAACAAGGGTGTAGATGAAAGGGAATCCTAGTATACTGTGGGTGGGAATGTAAATTGGTACAGCCACTATGGAAAGCAGTATGGATATTCCTCAAAAAATAAAAAAATGGAACTACCATATCATCCAGCAGTCCCACTTCTGGGTAAATGTCCAAAGGAAATGAAATCAAAATTCTACTCCCATGTTCAGTGTAGCATTATGTGCAATAGTCAAGGAATAGCTACACTATCCCACTTAGTAGTGTTTACCTCCACAGTAGTGTTTATACCCATTTTACAGATTAAAGGAAGTTGAGTTGGAAAGAGGTTAAGCAACATGTCTTCAAGCTGGTGCCTCTTCCCAGGCCTTCTCCAAACACCCACACCCCACCCCTCTACCCACTACTTTTCCAACCCACACAGCTTCAACAGATTAAGGAAGCAGACTATTTTGGAATTGCCTGAGAGTTGAATGTTGAATTCTTTTTTTTTTTTCTCTATCTGCTTTTTAAAGACTGCATTGACTCATATGTACTATTGGAAAACAAAATTTCATTATTAATTTTAAAACCAGATCAACATAGAGGATGAAAATAGACAGTAAACACTTTAGTAGATTTTGTTTGCCAAGTTCAGCCTTTGGGCATGATTTTTGGTACTAATATTTATTCTGAATTTAGAATTGTCACACAATTGATGTCTAATAATGTGCCACAGTCTGGCTGGGCACACAATCATGAGCCACCACACAGCTTGTAGATTCAAACAGCAACTCTTTATTCCCGAACTCACACCAGCCGTCTACAATCACGTTCTGGGGAAATCCACGTTCTCTGCCCAAATCCAAATCCACTGGGCTTCTATCTCCCAAGAAATACTGTCTGAATCCCGTGAGAACTCAAGGGGAACTCAGGCAGCAGGATACGCCCTATTCCCAGCAGGAATAATCTTAAACCTTAAACCTGGAACCTAAACTGGGAATGCCCTAAACCCGATTATCTTAAACCGGGAACACCCTAATCTGCCCTGGTCCTTGAGCAAGGTCACCTACATTCAATGTCACTGCAAAATGTCAGCAACATGGGGTACGCTGGCAAGGAAATTGTCATACCTACTTGGCTAATGGCTCCCAGCAATAATGTATATACCTGAAAGAAATAAATGATGGAAAAAATAAAAATAAGACATGCATTTTACCCTTTCCACTCTTTCTTTTGAACATCAATAGTGCATATAAAAATATTGATCTACATACACTTTTCAATAGAAGTTAATTATTGTTTCACTTATTTGTTATATTTTTATTTTTTTGTGGTGTTGGAATGGAACCCAGGGCCTCACACACACTGGACAAGCACTCTACCACAGAGCCAGCCCCCACCCCTGGCTGACCTTTAATTTAATTTAGTATATTAAGAATTGGGCTGGGGATATAGGTCAGTTGAGAGTGCTTGCCTCACATGCCTGGGTTCAATCCCTAGCACCACACACACACAAAAAAATTAAGGGTGTATATCATAAATCATATAAACATATGTGTCTAGGATGCCTGTATCACTTTCCATTGTAGTTATTAAACTATCCAGTAAAGAACTTGCAGGTTTGTTAAATATTGAGTGAGTGAGTGAAGGAAGGAAGAAGGATAGATGTTCAGTTTTCAAAATATTGGCTCAATTTTTTATTACATTGAATTGTATATGTGCAGTAATGGAGACATTAGAGATAATTATACTATACCCATACATACACATACTAGTTGTTTCTCCTCCAAATTGTTTCATATATTTGCATTATTAGAGCAAGAAAATATTTTAGCTCCCTAGTTTTTAGAGAATTTTTTTTCCAGGGGGTTCTGCTTTGGTTTTATTGAATCGTTGTGAAAATTGCCTCAATCTTTCTTTTTGTGGATTTCCCAGATTATTCTGAGTATTTCTTTTAACCAGGCCATGTAGCCATTGGTAATTTGTGAGTGATAAGAAAAGGTGACAAGAGAATATATAGAGTCATTGGTTTTGTTGCAATCTAATGAACATATTCATAAGCATTAATTTTTTGAATCTATGTTTAAAACTGCAGTATAAGACCTCTTGTGATGTCCAATTCTGAACTGTATTTGACAAAGCCAAAATTTATGAGGATCAACACTACCCTGTGTTTATGGCTTTCAGTTCTTATTTAAAAGATTCTCAAGGATTCCAGTCTTGGCATATCCAAAGAGAAATTGTCAAGCATTCCATTGTCAGCCTGCTAAATATTCAAATGCACAATTTTTCTTATGTTGGAAAATTATATTATGAAAAACAAATTCATTTTTTTTCCCTACCGTGTACCCAGAGAATCTTGTCAAGGATTTCTTTATAAAGGGTTGCACTGTCCAGAGCTTAGCCCCCTTGAGAACATCTCAGAGTGGATTTATGCAGAAAATGCAGGCGTGCTAATGAGGTGGAACTGCAAGACACACTTAATAGTAACAGTGAATTCTTGAGCTCACTGCTACCAGCCCAACTTAAGTAAGATTAGTGGGAGGCCTGGTAGGTTCTCTTCTACCCTGAAAATCATGTTTGCTCTTTTGAAAAATGCCAAAGGCATGTGATTACAATTTTTTTAAAAAGCCTCAGCTGTGTGTCTTAAAACGCTGGAGAAAGTGTACTAATTGGAGTAATTTTTTTTCTTTTGAAATAATTTTATTTCAGGTATTATGTTAATGACTTTCTAGTAGTAAATCCCAAAACAATGAATAAAATTACAGTAAGATATTCAAACTCTATACCCTTTAGAGGGAAAAGTCAGGAAACATACAATGGAAGAAAATAGTAGAAGCTAAGTCCGCAAGTACCAGATACACTCCAAAGCGAACCTTAATGAAATCTCTTATATGATCCACTCCTCTTGAGTGTGGGGAAAATCTGTGACTTTCTTCTCCCCAGTGGAACATAACAAAGGTGCTGAAATATTACTTCTGTTAGTATCTTTTGTTATGTAAAATAGTCTTAACAGACTGGAGATCTCCTACTGGTCTTAGAGAAGCATAATCCATGCTGGGAACTGCTATGAAGAGGATCAGGGTATGGCAGGGATCTGTGACTGGCCTCTGGGTCCTGGAGGGTGCTCTCAGTCTGACAGCTAGCAAGAAATTGGGGCCTAAGTCATACTAAGACAGGGATGAATTCTGCCAGAGACCTGAATGAATTTAGGAGTAGATTATCTCCCAGGTAAGCCTCCAGATGAATATGCAGCTTGGCTGGTGACTTGGTGGTAACCTGTTAGACCCTGATAGAGAACCCAGTTAAGTTATGCTCAGACTCTTGAGTCATGGAAAATAAGAGATAATAAATATGTGTTTTAAGCTGCCAAGTTTCTGGTCATTTGTTACACAGCAAGAAAAAGAACACAACCTACTACAGGTAAAATAATTTTTTTCTTACTAAAGAAAAAGTTATTCAATGATATTAGCTAAAAATTGTTAAGGAGGACTTTATTTAGAATGATCACAATAGGCAAAGGGACCACCACACTTGAATTTTGCAGCTGAGTATAGAAATTGAGCTCACTTTCTAATATATCATGGGTAAGTGAGAATTTATACCCAAGGAGCAGGGTAGGGAATCAGTGGATGGAAAAGAGGGAGTACCAAGAATAAGAGGGATGCTGGTTACACCAACCTAACAGGATCATTTAAAAAAAATTGTTCTGATTATTTCATGATGGTAGAATGCATTTTGACTCATTATACATAAACGGAATATAACTTCTCATTCTTCTGGTTGTGCATGATGTGGAATCACACTGCTTGTGTAGTCATATATGCACATAGGATAATAATCTCTGATTCATTCTACTATCCTACCTATCCCCATGCCATTTCCCTCCATCTAATCCAAAGTACCTCTATTCTTCCCTAGCCCCCACTCCCATTGTGAGTTAGCCTCTGCATATCAGAGAAAACATTTGGC